TCCCCCCCCCCCCCCCCACCAGCCATTCTTCAGCAGCTGGGCCTTTCATACCCACCTGTTTCTTAGGTTGTCACCCAGAGGTGGAATTCAGCAGGTTCTGACCAGTTCTGGAGAGAACCGGTAGCGGAAATTCTGAGTAGTTCGGAGAACCGGCCAATGCCACCTCCGAGTGGCCCCGCCAACCCCATCTCTTCTCTGCCTCCCATTGAGTCCCAGCTGATCGGCTGGGTCTCCTTTGGTTGCCCTGCACAGGAGAATGGAGCTGGAAAGCAGGTTAGTGGGGTGGGGAGGGAAGGGGGATTTTGCAGTATCCTTCCCCTGCCACGCCCACCAAGCCACACCCATAGAATACCATGCCCACCAAGCCGCGCCCACAGCCGATCGGCTGGGTCTTCTTTGGATGCCCTACACAGGAGAACGGAACTGGAAAGCAGGTTAGTGGGGTGGGGAGAGAATGGAGGTTTTGCAGTATCTTTCGCCTGCCCCACCAAAAGCCACGCTCGCAGAACTGATCGTTGTTGCTTTTTTAAAAAATCCCACCACCGTTGCCACCCCACCACATCGCATGTCACGGTGGTTCCAAAGGATGACAAACACGGAAGCTGAAACCGCTCCATCCAAATGGCGTAACGCAACCAAGACGTTGAGTTCGCCCCAACCTTCTCCAGAATGACGTGGTGGGAAGAGGCCTCCATTCTCAAGGAAATGTTCTGTATCACGGCCCAATATTCCCCGTCGCAGCCCCTCGAAGGGTCAGAGCCCCTCTAGAGAGAGGGGCTGTCACAGAGAAGGAAAAAGGTTGGCCTTTTTCTCCAGAGCATCTGAAGGCAGGACAAGAAGCCCTACTGGGTGGGAGATCTCCTCGGAGGGAGATCCAAGATGGAAATAAGGAAGGGTTTCCAAACGGTGGGAACGATTAATGAGCGGAACCGCTGGCCTCCTGGAGTTGTTGGGGGTTTTCAAGAGAAAATTGGCAACCCTTGGATAGGAATGGAGTAGGGTCTCCTACCTTGAGCAGAATCTGAAGTCCCTTCCAGCCCTCTTTATTTATTATGTCTTCTGTAGTGGAGAATATTTATTATTATTATTTTTTGAACAGTCATTGGACACTCCATGTTTGCCCTTGACTGTCTTCAGTGGGCTGGAGTTTTGGCAGCACTGTCCAGATTGCTGGTGGCGGCAAGAATTGGCTTGGCCCGTTTTTCTCTGGGGAAAAAAAGAGATTCACGCTGGAAACCAGCAAAATCTGCCTAATAGCTGATCTTACGAGCTCCGTGAATCTGCTCCCCTTGTCTGCAGCCTCTTGATTTGTTCCCTGACTCGTGTTTGTGGCTGCTTATTTAAAAGGCAGGACGGGTATTTCCAGCCTTGACTGTGAATGAGGAGATCTTTTCTGCTCCTCCGGGGATCTCCATGAGTTTTACCAACAGTTGAGCGAATTTAACCTTGTGGCATTTGCTGAAGAGTGATTACTGCAAGGAATCTGGGTCCTGAAGAACTAAGCATGGGATTTGAGCAGAAGGACGTGGCAGGGAAGAGGGGGGGCACAGGGCTTGGGTCCTGACAAATGCCACGTTAGGCTATTTAAAAAAAAAATAACCCTGAAAACTGAAAGTATACACCTTCTTTCATTCCCTTCTTTTGTAAGAATCTAGGGCAGAGTTTTTTAACCTTGGCGACTTTAAGATGCGTGGACTTCCATTCCCAGAATTCCCCAGCCAGCAGTTTACCTTCTCCTGAAGGTAAAGTAGTTGTTGGATTCCTTGATTTTTGTCTTGCACAAAACCATCTAAGTCCGTGTTCCTCAACCTTGGGAACTTGAAGAGACGTGGCCGTCAATTCCCAGAATTCCTTAGCCCGCCAGGCTGCCTGGGGGACTCTGGGACTTGAAGTCCACACATCTTAAAGGTTGAGAAAAATATATATATATATTTAGAGGCAGGGTCGAGAAGACAAGGCAGGAAAGAGAATTCCAATACTATTCATCAGAAGGAGGAAGGATTTGAAGCCAAGCAGGGGTGCATCTGAGGACACACTTACCTTGGGGCAGAAATGGGGGGAATTTAGAATAATCTGAAAGCCCTTCCTAAGCTTTCCACCATCCAGGGGGGTTGGGGACATTGCATTCATAAATGCAAAGTGACATAGAAAGGCCTTACCTGGCCTAAAGAGCACCACACCCGTTGTGGCATCCCTTGCAGGTCCAAAGCTCTCTCTCTATCTCTAGTGGAGGAGGCCCTTTACTCCCCTGAAGCCCAAAGGAGATTAAGTAAATCCCCACCTTCCTAATATGATTAGATCTCAAAGCTGCTTCTTACCCAGCATTTTCCTCTCTCCCCGTCCCCACGCCATCTGTGCCTCTTTTGTGCCCCTCTGCCTCTTTCGTGTCACACCCTTCGGTTCGGCCAGGACTTTTCCTCCTCACACTCTTCTTGAAGACGTTGGGACCCGATTATTAAGCCGTTACTTTTGAAGGCAGTTATGCATTTTGGAGACAAGTAAAGCCAAGTCACTTAGACCTCTGGAAGAAGACGTTAGTTGCACATTTTCAACATTATTTAACAGCTCCCCCCCCCCCCCTTCTCTCCTGCCAAATCTAAGAGCAGAGAGAACAGTCGTGTGGCATTGCCTTCTGAGAATAGGGCATCGTGCATGGCATCATGCCAGTCTCGTGGCCCAGCACAAAGCACAGAAGCGGGTAGCATCTGCAAGGGCCTTCAGACCCGTGTTCCTGTTCTTTGCTTTTCAACCTTCGCAGCAGCGGTGGGATTCAAAATTTTTTTACTACCGGTTCTGTGGACGTGGCTTGGTGGGCGAGGCCGGGGAAGGTGACTGCAAAATCCCCCTTCCCTCCCCACCCCACTAACCTGCTTCCCAGCTCCGTTCTCCTGGGCAGGGCAACCAAAGGAGACGCAGCCGATCAGCTGGGACTCAATGGGAGGCAGAGAAGAGATGGGGTTGGCGGAGCCAGTCAGAGGTGGGATTGGCCGGTTCTCCGAACGACTCAAAATTTCCGCTACCGGTTCTCCCGAACTGGTCAGAACTGGCTGAATCCCACCACTGGTTGGCACTCATTCCAAATCCTAGAACAATATTTCTCATCTCCAATAACTTGAAGACGTATGGAATTCAACACCTGGAGTTCTCAGCCAGCATCTCTGGGGAGTTCTGGCAGTTGAAGCCCCCACATCAGTGTTGAAAAACACTGCATGGGGGTTATTTTTCCCTGCTGCCTTCTTAGATGATCCTGGACTCAAGAGAGAATTGGGGGGGGGGGGCTTCTCCATGGCTCCCACCTCCTATCTTTGTGTAACTGCAGATCCCACATTTGGTTCCACCTTTGAAAGGTATCCAAATGAATAAAAACAGGAGAACTTTTCCAGCACGTGAGAAAAACCTCTGTTGTGTTTCTTGAAAAGCCCTTTTCAGTTCGCAGGATGTTATCTGCGTGCTCAGATTGTGCCTTCGAAAGAAAAACGTGCCGTTTATTTTTAAACTTAAAAACACACACCAAGTGAGATTGGTAGCCACATATTTCCACAATAAAACCCCCCTCTCTTTTCAGTGGACCTTTTGCAGACAGTCGGGATTTCTGGCAAAAGCCTTTAGCAGGATGACAAGAGCCTTTTGCATTTCCTCCACTCCTCAGTTCTTTGACGCTCTTAAACTGAACCCACCTTTTCTCTTTTCCTTTTTTTTCCTTTTAGGGCCACCTCTTTATTGTGCAGTACAATGACGGGAACGCCGAAGTGGTCTCCATGTGGGTGTGCCGGACTCTGGAGGAGAGGCGTGTGCAACAACAGGGATCCCAGTGAGAGGAAGAGCGATGCGCTCTCTCTCCCCCACGAGACCGGAGCCTCCGAAGAGCTTCACATTGCAGAGTGGAGCCCGCCAGGAAAGAGCCGGCGTCTTTTCTTCAAGAAATTCAGCAGGCGTCCTTTGCCCCCCGCGGCTCTCACTGCCTCCTCCTGCATCCCTAAGACAAGGCGAACATATATTTTATATTTGAATGTGTATATATTGGCCTCCCAAGTATTTTATATGCTTTGGGGGTCTTTGCTAGCGAAACAAACATGAGCAGAAAAGGAAGGCGGCAGCCCTGTGGACTCAGTCAGGCGCCTGCTTTTGGATTGGGATTGGAAACTGAACGTTATTAAATGATGGGCCGGTGAAAGAAAATGGACCGAGGTGAAAGAATAAAAAAGCGTACGCAGTATCTGCCAAAGGGTGTGCGCTAATGCTTGCACTGTCCCCTGTACCTGCTACTCCTTACGTAGGACGAGGTGGACGCCAGGGACATCAAGGAGACCTTAGCAGAAGATCAAACAGGAGGAAAAGTTGGGCTGGGCTTTCATTTGTTGATGGTGTTGTTATTCCCTTGAGCGGTAGGACAATTCCTTGAGGTTGGTCTGAAGTTCATTCTTGGGGGGATTCTTGCCTGAACTGCAGAAGAGGTGCTGCTGGCCAGGGTTGATAGCAAAGTTGGACCCTTTGATTGGAAGCTTCCTTTGTTCCTATTCAACAAACCTAAGATAAAAATATTAAAGTCTCTCTCTCTCTTCCTCCACAAATGTTGCCTGAGGCTGATGTGACTTATCATTCCTTTGTTCAATTAAATGTGTGTATTTGTGCAACCTTCACCGGTGAAAGCTGCAATAGCTACGTTTTTAGAACATCAGGCTAAATTGAGCCTGGGCGGTTGGTGACTGAAGACGGTCTGGGAATCCATACTGATAAAAGTGACTTAGCAAGTTGTGTGAACCGTGCCATCCTATTAAACTCTAATGTTTTTATTTGTTTATTTATTTGTCACACGAATATATATTCTGCCAATTTATCAGGCTCTAGGTGGTGTACATGGATAATGCAATTTATCTGTTTGTGCATAACATTATGGGGGGTAGCAGTTGCATCTCCTTACCTAGTTCAGGGTTTAGCATCTTAGGTGAATCTGCTGAAACTGATCCAGGTAATGAAGTCTATCCATTAACCTCACCAACTGGAGTCACGGGTCAAATGGAGACCCAACTCAAAGAAGGGAGGCTGGAAGTTGTGCAGCCCTCTGATTGTCTGACCTTCAGTAGCTACTCTGCAAAAAAGAAGAAAACCAAAAACAGGAAGAAGGAAATTGTGCTGTAATCCAGTCCACCAACAACTTCTGGACACAGTCTCAAAGGAGTCCAGCCTTTGATAGCAAACAAGGTTTCTCTGCACCCTAAAACGTGGATCTGTTGCAGCTGGCTGCTTTATGGACTGCCCTATTCAACTTTTGTCGCCTGTCTAAATAATTATGACATTAAAAGACTTACACTGAAAGTTTAAGAATTTGGATCTTTTTTTTTTTTTTTTTTAGTGAAGTAAGGGTTTGCCTTGTGTCCCGACTGTAGAGCGTAGGGGTCATCTCCACTTCTTTAGCAGAGGGAGCCAGCGTTATCCAAAGACGTTTCCACGGTCATGTGGCTGAGGTGCACAGGACACTGTTAACCTTCCCCAAAAACTGGAACCTATTCATCTACTCACATTTGCATGCTTTCAAACTGCTAGGTGGGCAGGAGCTCACCCACGGCATGGCACTTGGGTCTCAAACCCAGGCTGTCAGTTGTTCAGCTGAGAAGCTCAGTGTTTTTAACCACGAGCCATTGTGCCCATCAGACTTACTGATTTTTTAATCACTAATTTTAAATTTGCTTTAGAATAGAATAGAAACTTTATTTAATTGTTTGACCATATCAAAAATTTTTAAAAACTGATGCAAATACACAAATAGATACAAAAACAAACAAACCAATAGGACGTGTTCATAGTAAATTGTCATCCCAACAATCAACCCCAATCTTATTTTAAAATGCTGTTTTCTTCAAAACAGCCTTTGAAATCAAGAGGGCAGACTTCCTAGTGATAATACAGGTTCCTTCCCTGCAAAAAAGGAAGGCATTCTTGGGTCTTTCACCTGAGTGCCATTGTTCTTCTTGACGCGTCCCAGCTCTTCTGCTGTTTATTCTTGAAGGGGTCCTTCAGAAGTCGACCATCTTGGGCTGGTTGATAGCAAGCAGAATTGCTTTACCAGGAAGGCTCTGCTTGGGGTGCTCCATCACTCAAGATCGGAAGAGGATCCAAATGGGTTGGAGGCCTTGTGTGGCAAGAAGCAACTTCTGCTGAACAATTACAACTCCTAACCGTTACTTGGAAGGCAGCCTGGAAAAAGACTCTGCTTCCTTCCTTGAAGGGATCATCAATCTCCAGGTGAAGGATAAGAGATTGCAGGCGTGAACTGATAGACGAAAGTTTGTCTTAATTGCTGCAATGTCACAGCCTTTCTGGCAGATAACACTACAATGAATGACTCGATGGAATGGTGGCTTGGCCGTGGGTGCTTTTTCTAAAAGTGAGACAAATTCCCTTCCCTTCGGCCACTTGGGATGAAACAGTTCTTTCTGTTGCTTCTTTTCTAACACTTTGCATAGAGCACTCTGGTCTAAAGCATATTTCTGTTTAGCTTAATTTTAAAATCACATTAAGTTCTCCGTTTATTCACATTAAGTTGTGGGGTTTTTTGTTTTGTTTTTTGAGCAAATAAGACAGTTGCAGCTTGCAAATTACTGCTGAAGCGCCTTGCATGTTTTGGAATTCCTTGTTTTCATTTATCAGCCATACCTCAACTATTGATAATCCTCACCGATTCTTTAAGCATGTTTTTAAGTGAAGAACGTGTTCTGAAAATGTGATTCAGTGACAGCCTCACTAATAAAGATGTTTTGGATCTGATGATGCTTTATGATCAGCCATTTACCCATTGCATCCAACTTGAATTAACCTATTACAAAAAATACAAAAGGACCTCAGTTGGATGTACAAGGTAATATATAAAATGTGAACAGTCTTGTCATTATTTTTGTTGATTATCATCAGAGGTGGTATTCAGCCGGTTCGCACTGGTTCTGGCGACCCGGTAGCAAGAATTTGGCCTGGGTCGCAGAACTGGTAGCGACTTCTGGCTGGCCACGTCCCGACGGTCACCACTCGCTTGCTTGCCCCGCCCGCCCTCTCGCCGCTTGCTTGCCTTGAAGACAAGGGTCTTCAAACTTGGAGGAGGAATTCTGGGAGTTGAAGCCCACAAGTCTTAAAGCTGTCAAGTTTGCAGTCCCCTGATTTAAAAAAATAGTAAGTGTGTTAATTTGTTTCCAAAAAAAAATCGTCATATAAAATTTGGAAAATTTTAGCTGCTTTTCTATTTTTAAAAAGCAGCTCCTTTGTGAGGTTGGCATTGTGTGTGTATGGAAGTTCTTTTAAATTGTGTGAAATGTTATGTGCCTATAAATTAAAGCTATATTTTTAGATTTTTCCAGCTGTATCTGCTTTGTGAGTGTGTGTGTGTAGTTTTCCGTTGTGTAGGGAGTGTGTTTTCAGTTGTGTAGTTTTATGGGTCTGCTGCCAATCCAGAAAAGTCATACTGTAACATGACTGGATTGGCAGGAGACCCACAAAACTAGACAACTGAAAACACACTCCCTACACAACTGAAAACTACACACACACACTCACAAAGCAGATACAGCTGGAAAAATCTAAAAATATAGCTTTAATTTATAGGCACATAACAACATGTCCTAGCAGTTTTTGATGTTGATGCTTGCAGCATGCAGGCCAGGGGACATTTTACGTGAAGTCCAGCTGCTTGTCAGCAACTTTACTTTCTGAGACTATTAGTAACTTGTTTTGGGGTATAACACTTCCACCATTATTAAAGCTGGTTTTTAACATGTTGAGATTTCTGGAGCTGAGCCTGCTTGATCCATGATTGCCCTTGCTTTTGTTCTTGCCTGGGTCTTTTGTCTTTTCTATCTTCTTCTTCTTCTTCTTCTGTTTCTTCAGCGTTTGTCTCGCGCTCTGGCGAGGTCCGCTAACGTCCTTGAGTATTGCTTCCACGCCTCTCTGTCTGCCACGTATGTCAGGTCTGCCTTCGCGATCTCTAGGTCGGCCTTGATCGTGTCCATCCAGCGTTGCTTAGGTCTACCACGCGGTCTCGCTCCTCCGACAATCACCTTCATCGCAGATTTGATGATGGATTCTTCCTTGGCGCGACTCACATGGCCGAACCATGTCTTTTCTATCATGGTGATTAATTCTGCCAGGAATCAGGAAAAGGGGACCTCCAGGTGAGTTACCTTAATAATGGCTCATGTAAATCTCATCTTGCATACCTGCTTGGTTTGGTAATTAAATACAATATTTCCCTCTTCCTCTCCATACTGCAAAGGATCGGCAAACCCTAGTAAGTCAAGGAGAACAGTGGAAAAAGCCCTTTTTGGATCTCTTCCCTCTGGAGCTCCAGGCCATGTGGTCCTGTTCACCATTAAACCTTCCAAACAGCCTCCATGTTTCCAATGTCTGTTTCCCCACTTGGAACTGAACCCAGAAGGATATTTCTTCCAACAGAAGTCTGGAAAAAAGAGATTACCCAGATATCAACTCAAAAATATTTCTCTGGTCTTTTAGAGTTGTCAGCAGAAAGGGAGTGGAGGAAGCAGTGCATTCCTTAAATGCTTCAGATAATTGCTAGGCAGCCGAAGCTGTTGACGCGCAAGATTATTACTGGAGAGCATGATGGATGACTCTTGGCTATGGATGTGTCCCATTGGAGAATATACATCCAGGGGGTGGAGGGGAAGACCAGGGTCAAAAGGGGAATGAATGATGTATTTTAGTGTCGGCTGCACCCAGCTAACGCCAACATGGCCACTCCTAATAAATCCATCTTTTTTACTCCGAGAGACGCGGCTAGAGACTTATAATTTGAATGGGGGTGGATTGTCGGAGCCCTGACACCAGGATCTGAAGGGCTTTGGCAGGAATCAAGGCATCCTCCAAGGGAAGCAACCGACACCAGTTTCCAGTCGCTCAGCCACGGAAAGATGTTTGCTTTGCACCATTTCTTGAACTTGGCTTTGGCAGTCAGAAGGGGACACCGGTGCTGTTGGGTGGAGAGGCAGAAAAGTCAAGGCGGCACCTTCGGCCGTGCAGTCAGAGACCTGTCCGCCTTTCTGATGTGCCCTCCTGTTATTTTACTTTTTCATTCCCTCCCTGCGGCCTTCCACGGACACCCCTTAAACCAGCTGGCAAGATCTGGGGGCGCCTGGAGCTCTTTTCTCGCCCCAAATGCCATACAGGCAGCCTTGCAGTCGTCGCTGAAGTTCGTCCAATTAACGCTTCCTGATTAGCTTTGCTCAGCTTTAGCTTTTAGTCAAAGGGAAGAGAACCAGGCAGGAGAAATTAGTTTCCACTGGTTTTTTTTCATTATGTATAAAATACCAGGCTGATAACAGGATAAGGAGCATCCCTAACAATGAGAGGGAAATCAATCCAGGCGGGGTTGTCCGTTCCTCGTGATGGGGGGGAGCTGCAATTAAGTAGCCTCAGTTCTCTCTCGGGGGGCTCCTGATGGGAGCACACTAAGGCCGTGGTCACCAACCGGTGGGCTGCGGCCCACGGGTGGTCCATGAGAAAATTTTGGTGGTCCGCAGAGAAATATCACTCCCCTGCACTCCCCAAAGCAATCAACCCAGGCTGTGGGGGGACACAAGGCTGCACCATCCACATGGCCGGCCTGCACAAGGCTTATGTCAGAACAACACGAGGTGGGGAGGGAAGGGGGGAAGGGGGGAGGGGGAGAACTTGCCTGGCCACCTGGCTGCTTCTTTCCACTTCTTTCTTCTTCTAAACAGGTTAGGAAGGTGGCTGCCTTGGAGCGGGGGGGGGGAGTGTGTGAGGGATCTGTGTGTGTGTGTGTGTGAGAGAGAGAGAGAGAGAGAGAGAGGGAGGGAGAGAAAGGGTGGGTGTGTGTGTGAGAGAGAGAGAGAGGGAAAGGGAGGGAGGGAGGGAGAGAAAGGGAGGTTTGTGTGTGTGTGAGAGAGAGAGAGACAGAGAGAGAGAGAGAGAGAGGGAGGGAGGGAGGGAGAGAGAGAGGGGGGTTAGATCAGATCTCACTCTCACTCTTACACCAATGTCAGCAAGCCATAATAGAAATAGAAATAGAACTGGAAGGGCCCTTGGAGGTCTTCTAGTCCAGCCCCCTCCTCAAGCAGGAGAAGCTATACCACCTCAGACAAGTGACTGTCCAACCTATTCTTAAAAACCTCCAATATTCCGATGGCCATAGGAATAAAGTGTTGGACTGTGCAGAGATGGTTCAACTTACTTTGGAACTGCAAGATAGAGAGGAATCCGAATATTATACAGTCTGGGAGAAGTGGTATATCTGGCTAGACAAGAGAAATAAGAATGAAAAGCACACTAATGGTTAAAAAGCACAATAACAATTTTTTTAA